TACAGCAGGCTTGAAACTCATTGGTAAGTTAGGGAGAAGTCTACCCCAAGCATGTGAAGACTCCCCCCAGGCAGAATGGGCAGATGAGAACAATTTGTTCCAGCAGCCATGAAGGCAGTTGAAGTGAAGATGCCAAGTTCATCCATTGCTTCCTGGGCCATTGCCAGTCGTCTTGATTTTTTTCCTGCCATTGGATTTATATGACTCTGGGAAGTGAGAGTGAGACTGATGACTTTGTGCATCTTTGCCTCACCTAAATCCAATTCACACTCTAGTCAAGACATCACCCTATGAAATCGTTGATCCTCTTTTGAAAATGAAGTAAGAACAACAATAATCTTTTTTTTTTTTAAATAAGGTCCACTAATATTTAATAAATCCCAGACTGGAATTTTAAATAATTCCCGTCATGGCATCGTGTCTCATGGTCTCCATGGTATGCATGAGTTTGTATTTATTTGCTTGTATTAAGCTCTCTGATAGGTAGTGTGCTGTACTGGACAGAGAGTCAGCCTTGGAGTCATGAAGGCAGATCTGTGTTCAACCCCTGGCAACATTTCAGTTGTGAGGCTGGCTCTGTGGCAAAACCACTAACTCTCTGACATACTAAATTAGAGAACAATTGTTGATATGCAGTGGTAGAAGTAGTTGTCTCAGTGAAGACTCCCTACATCAATAACATCATAAGTCTGGAACAAAATAAATGAAATTTATTTTAGATATTAATTTTATCTATTTTGGTCCAGACTTGTGATTACCCCTGCTTTCATGTCTAGATATGGACACTTGAGGCCATGAATATTATCATTTCCCCTGTTCCTGTATCTCAGTCTCTGTGATTTGAATATTAAACATTTCTGCCACAGTCTCTGCCCACCTGCAGCTTAAATTCTATCAAGGAAGATAACATATGTCCTTATACTAAACACTAAGTATATTTAAAATAAATACAAAGTTATGAGATAGAGCATTCTATTCTGGGGGATAAGGAAAGGGCTTATATAGGAGATGCCCCTTAAGCCAATCTTTGAAGGGAATTGGGAATTTTAAGAGGCAAAGGTGAGAACGGAGGATATTTCAGGCATGGGGTTCATTTTGTGCCTAGAGTTGGGAAGTGGAATATTGTGTAGGAGGAACAGAATTGTTGCTGATCTTTGTCCTTTGTTTTTGAAGAGGTTGATGACATCAGAAAGATGGTGCCTTGACATGCAAGTGAATTAGATTTAAGTGAGGGAGGGCTGTGCAAAATCACCAGCCTCACTTTCTCTTCTGACACCATCTGGGTCCAGTGACCAGATATAGATCAGAACTACTCATGGAAAAACAGAAAGACCATTACTGGAATGTAAAGTGTGTGAAAAGGAGTTGTGTGTAATCTGCCCAGAAAGGTGATTATGAAGGGCTTTAAATGCCAATCTAGAGTTTAAATTTGATATCAGAAGCAGTTAGAAGCCATTAGATTTAAAAAAAAACCCCACAAACCCACAAACAAAGGTGGTGATATCTATAGGGGATTGGCACAGTCTTCTCTGCTTCTATACCTGCTGAAACAAATCCTCTTCTTGATGTGGTTCCGCTTATTAGCAAGAAGGGACCTCTAAGGAGGCATTTGGAATATCTGGTTTTCCAATTTTTGGTCAGACTCCCCTCCCCCCCTTTAAAATATCTAATTAGCTAACTGCTAATGCCCGGATGCAAGCAGCAATTGGACTCACTTATTGTCTATGTCATTCAATGGCTAGAAGCACTTAAGTCCTCATATCCAGCTTATCCTTTTGATTTATTTATTCAATAAAGGTGTCTAGGAATTGTTTATGTCTAGTTTACATATTAGATTGTCACTCAGAAGTATTCTTTCCTGATAAAAGTATCAGGGCATAGAATATCTTATTAACTATGGTAATTGATGTGGGGGGAGTGGTACATCCCCTCCCCCAGTTTATGTCTAGCCCAGTGTCTGGCTCATAGTAGGCATGCAACTGGTATTTGAATTGAATCATCAAAATGGATTCATTGAATACTGCCTAGTTTTCTACAAAGAGGTTTACATGCTTTAAGGTTTGAGAAGGCTAGAGAAAAATATAAAGTTCTCAGAGGTTATATCCTACATAAGTAACTTTCAAAATATTTATGTTACATTCAAAGCAGTAGATTTATTATGCTGTGTTGACTACAGATGCAAAAACAAAATGCACAAATTTTGGTGTGATTAAGTGCATGGACCAAGAATTCCAAAGTGTCAGAGTATTCATCTCTTTTTTTCTAAGAGAGAACCAAAACTTTTCCTGCAACAAAATGGACCCAGATCTTACTTGTACCTGTAGCTTTGGCAGGGGAAAAAACTTACACAGAGAATGAAATGTTATGGCAGGATTAATTACTTTTTTTGTGATCATTGTCTCTTCTGCACTTTAACCTGGTATATTTTGTGGGGGCTTGGGCTAAACATGTTTAGTTAATTGGGCATATTTATCTAAAAAAAGCAGATTGTGTAATAAAGCCATATTAACTCTAATGTCTTACGTATTAAGAAGTACTGTGTCACTGGAGTGGGTATTCATACTGATCATATCATGGACTCTTTGGTGTATGTAAGTAAATATGGTAATGCCATTAACTCAGAATAGAATTATACAAAATTATTCCTTCAAGATGGGGGAGGCAGGGTTATTTTGTATGAAAAAGATGTGGGGATTTTAATGGACTGCAAATTCAATATGAGTCAGTATTGTGATGTCGCGGCCAAAAAAGCTAATTAATATAATCTTGAACTTATTGAGAGGGATAGCAGCATCTGGCAATAAGGGGGCAACTAGAGTGTGCAGCGAATGGAGTGCTGGGCTTGAAGTCAGAAAGGCTCTTTTTTGTGAGTTCAGATCTGGACTCAGACACTTAATAGCTGTGTGACCCTGGGCAAGTCACTTCACTCTGTTTGCCTCAGTTTCCTCATCTGTAAAATGAGCTGGAGAAGGAAATAGCGAACTACTCCAGTATCTTTGTCAAGAAAACTCCAAATGGGGTCATGAAGAGTTAAATATGAGTGAAAAAATGACTGAACAACAGGAATAAGGAAGTCTTTTCTGCTGTCTGCTTCTCTAGTCAGAAGACATCTGGAAAAGCAGATAAGAGTTCTGGGTGCTGCATTGTAGGGAAGACATAAACTAGACCCTTCTAGAAGAGGGCCATCGTGATCGGCTACGTTCTGTGAGGTCAGCAGAAGGAAATGGGAACATTTTACCTGAGGAAGAGAAAACTTAAAGGAACATGATTGCTGCCTTCAAGTACTTAAAAGGGAATTCCTCTGAAAGATTAGATTTGTTGCCTGTGTTTGATCCTAAAGGGCAAAGCCAGGAGCAACAGGTCGAAGTTGGAAAGAGGCAAACTTGTTTGGACTTTTTGGGTAATACTTAGGTCAATCTCAAAGTAGAATGAGCTGCCTAGAAAAGTAGATTTTCCCCTCACTGGAAGTCTTCAAGTAAAGTCTGGATACCTGCTTGTTGGGAATATGAGAATGGGAATTCCTTTTGAGGATAAGTTAGACCGTAAGGCCGCTGGGGTCCCTTCCAATTCTGAAGTTTATTCATCTCATCTGTCTGTGGGAGAATAAGCGACTTCTGAGATCATCAAATCTAACCTAATTTTGTGGATGAACACATTGAGACCTAGAGGGGCTAAGTGAGTTGTTATACAAGACGCTGAAAAGTGATGGATACATTTAAAATATCCTTTCTTGTCAGATTTTAGATTTGAATCTAAAGGACCCAAACTCCAGAGGGAGAATTCATGCCCGCCTTCACTTTAATTAACTGCTTAATTTATTTTTGGCCGATGCCATAAACCTTTTTTGTGTTGTGGTTCCCTTTGGCGGTCTGGTAAAGCCCATGGATTCCTTCTTTAAACAGTGTTTTAAAACTCATTAAATAAAATATGCAAGATTACAAAGGAAACTACTTATGGAAATACAATAATCAGAATATTTTCTAAAAAGTTTATGGACTGAGGTTAACTACCTATGGCTTATGGGATAGGAGGTACTTTGGAGTAGAGCCAATAGCCCTGTAGGTGGCAGAGTGGATAGAGTGGTGGGTCTGGAGTCAGAAAGACTCTCAGACACGTGTGACCTTGAGTAAGTCACTTAACCCTGTTTGCCTCAGTTCCTCATTTGTACAATGAGCTGGAGAAAGAAATAGCAAACCACTCCAATATCTCTGCCAAGAAAACCCCAAAAGGCGTCATGAAGAGTCAAACATGAGTGAAACGACTAAACAGCAGTAGCTCTGTGATATTCCCATCGGAGGTAGGAAGAAGGCAGATGTATGATAAGTGAGTAGTTTGAGAAACAATTGAATGGGACTGGAAAGCTCTGCTAAACTAGCTTTTATTTAATAGAAAATAAGCCAGGTTTTAACCTTTGGTATGCTTCAACAAGGACAAATCAAAATTGATTAATCAAAAGAAGTTTGGGGGCATTAGCAGGGCTTTCCTGTTTCTCCATTCTCTTCATTCCCTCTCAAAAGTGCCATGTCAAGGAGGGAAGAGAGGGAACAGCATATTGGTACTTCATAGGCAATAACTGATTTGGCTGATGAGTCAAATTTGTTTAAAGAAAGTTGAGTGTATACTTTAATTGTTTAATTATGATGATTTGTTACTTTAATATTAGACTTTGACTGTTTTACAGCAAAAAGTTCGTAAAGAACAAAACCCATAATCATCTTCATCAGTCTGTAATCTTTCCCTATAGGTTCATCGTAATCTTAAAATTTTCATGGCTCACATTCACATGGCTGTAAATGAATGGAATGAGTGTAATACATTTAATAAATTTGATCAGTCTATTGTTAGACTATAGAAACAGAACCCTATGTTGAATATTCAGTATTTCTTCATTTTTTCCTTTGATTATTTCTTTTTTCCTATCTAATATAGCATCTTCATGCTTTTTCCATTTCAGTCGAGAGAAAACTGTATTGAGTTGGGTCCTCTTGCTTTTCTTGCAGAACAATCAATCATGACTACGGAATCTGGATCTGACTCTGAATCGAAACAGGACCCAGAGCCAGAGCCCCAAGAAGCCTCTGGACGGCAGGGACAAGCTGGGGCTCAGCAGCAGCCAGCGGAACAGCCTCTCAGGGAGGAACATCAGCAGGCACTGGAGCAGTTCTCTGCAGCAGCAGCACATAGCACCCCGGTGAAAAAAGAGGTCAGTCTCAATTCAGTAAACAGCAGTTCTTCAAAAGTTTCTCATCTTTGTCCACCAGCTCCCCATACCGCATCTTCTAGCTACCTAACAAATATGGAGAGGTCATAATTGAATGGGTCATTTCCCCCTGAAAAATGAATTAAGAATATTTATTGTGCTTATTTTAAATATTTCCTAGAAGATTTGTTATCTTAAAATTAGAAACTATGAGGGACCAAAGTTCATTCTCTTCATATCTCCAGCAGGCAAAAATATATCTTGTTTTAAAAGCCTTCAAAAAATCACATTTCACAAACTTTCTTCCTTATTCATTCAATCAATCAACAAGAACTCCACCAAAAACCTGGACTTCTGACTCCTGTATGTGTTTCTTTTGATAGGAAGGAAAATTCCCCCTATTTGTATAAGTTAACAGGTTGTACCGCATATTACAAAAATGGGTTTGAGACTTTCTCTTTTCCTCTCCCAGGTGTATCATTTAAGAATTTATCTTTTGGATATTTTATTATTATCATTTTTATTGTTGTATTTCAGAACTTCTTTGGTGGTCATTGTTTGAACATCATAAAATATAAAAGATGAATGAATGAAGACTTACTGTGTTCATTCCAAATCTTGGACCAAGCATGGGGTATTCAAAAATAAAAACAAAGACAGTGCTTGATCTCAAGGAACTTACATTCTTACAGGAAGAGATAATAAATAGAGGAATGGTGGCCAGGGCAGAGTATTATATTTGGATGAATTATAGGGATGGTGAGTAGAGCCATAAGGGAGTAGATTGATATATCCTATCCAAGAGCAGTGGCAGTATTGATTTGATTATGCTTCTAGAAATCAAAAACTCGGTGGAGGTAAGGATTGGACGGTATGAGTGCACTATGGAAAGCATGTAAGTGAAAAGATGGCTGCAAGAAAAAGTCAGTCAATAAACATTTAAGCACCTACTGTGTGCCAGGCACTGAGCTAAGTGCTGTAGTTACAAAAGTAGGCAAAAGACAGCCCCTGCACTCAGGGAGATAACACTCTAATGGAGGAGACAACCAGTAAATAAAAATGTACAACTAAGCTATGTAAAGGATAGATAGGAAATAGAGAAGGTTCTAGAGTTAAGAGAGATTGGGGAATGTTTCCTGAAGAAGATGGGATTTTAGTTGAGGATTAAAAGAAGCCAAGGAAGCCAGGGAAGACAGTATGCAGAGATGATGGAGAACCTTTCAGGCATGGGGGACAGTTGGAGAAAATGCGTGGAATAAAACATGGAGTGTTTCGTTTGTGGAACAACCAGGAGACCAGTGACACTGGGCTGAAGAGTATATGGCAGGGAATAGTGTGTAAGAAGACTTGAAAGGTAGAAGAAGGCTAAGTTAAAAAGGGATTTAAACACCAAATACAGATTTGTATTTGATCCTGAAGGCTATAGGGAGTCACTTGAGTTTACTGAGTAGGGGGGTGACATGGTTGGACCTGCACTTTAGGAAAATCATTTTAGTGACTGAATAGAGGATGGATTAGAGTGGTCAGAGACTGGAAGAAGGCAGACCCACCAGCAGACTATTGCAATATTCCTGGAGTGAGGTGATGAAAATGTGCACCAGGATGGTGGCAGTGTCAGAGAAGAAAAGGGGACATATTTGAGAGATGTTGCAAAGGTAAAATCAGTAGGCTTAGGCAACAAATTAGATATGGAGGGTGAGAGATAGTGAGGAGTCAAGGGTGACAGCCTCGTTTTGAACCTGAAGGACTGGAAGGATGGTATTGCCCTCTAATTTATAGGAAAGGTAGGAGAGAAGAAAGATTTAGAGGAAAGATAGGAGTTCCATTTTCGACATCATGAGTTTAAGATGTCTGCTGGACATCTAGTTTGAGATGTCTGGAAGGCAGGTGGAGATGTGAGATTGGAGATCAGCAGAGTGATTGGGACAGGATTGTTGTACTCCATATGTAATAGGGAAGCTATGAGTGAGAGTTTCAGGAGAAAGATAGTGAATTCTGTTTTGAACATGTTGAATTTAAGATGTCTACTGGACATCTAGTTTGAGATGTCTAACAACATAGTTGTAGATGCAAGACTGGAGGTCAGCAGAGAGATTGGGGCAGGATAAGGTAGATTAAAGTGAAACATGGTTTCATGTAATGGGCCAGGTGAAACAAATATCCAACGGGACGGTGGGGCTCCAGTTCTAGTGAGTCTAGGCATAAACAGGTTGAGTCCTTTAGGACATGGTATCTTGTCTAGCCACGCTGCAGGCAAGAAACTATCGAGTCAGAAGCTTTTTGGTAGCTCCGTCTTCTCCATGAACACTTATTTTATATAGACGTGTGTGTGTGTGTGTGTGTGTGTGTGTGTGTGTGTGTGTGTGTGTGTGTGTGTGTATACACCTAGGGGTGGGGGCCACAAGAGTGGAAAGAAAGAGATGGATGTGAGAGGAGTTGTAGAGATAGAATTGCCAAGATTTGACATATTGGATGAAGGAGAGGGAAGAGTTGAGGATAAATAAGTTGAGGATAAATAAGCTTGTGAACCTGAGTGATTGCAAGAATGAGGATGATGGTGACCTCAACAGAAATAGGGAAATAAAGACAAGAGGTGGGCTGGCGGGAGAACGTAGGAGGAGATAATGAGGCTTGTTTTGACTTGTTGAGTTTGAGATATTTGTGACATGTCCAGTCTGAAATGTCCATTAGGCAACTGGGAATGTGAGACTGGGTCACAGGAGAGAGGTGAGTGCTGGCTGTATGGATCTGAGAGTAATCTAATCCATAGAGAAATAACAATTTTATTCATGGGAGTTGATGAGATTAATGTGAGAGAAAGGTACAGAGACAAAAGAAGAGGGTCCCGGACAGAGTTTTACAGGTACCAGACAGGGCATGGATGTTGGTCTAGCAACATAGATAGAAGAAGTAGCCATACAGATAGGAAGAGAACTAGGAGGAATCAATGTTACAAAAACTCAGAAAAGAGAGAATATTCATAAGGAGAGGACAATAAGTTATACCTGTGTTTTGAATGTGTTTAAATATTGTTATACTTGCCAAGTGGGTTCTTAAGACAATTTTGATTTAAAGCCTCCATATTGGAATCCTATGGGTACTTCAGATAGTCACGTGATAGTGATGATGTTGTAAGCTTGGAAAGAACTTTGGCAAAGAATTTAGCACAATTGACAGTTACTAAGCTTGCATAAGAGTTAGTATATGTATTACTTCAAAATAGAGAGATTGTATCACTGAAACACTCAGGAAGTCACAGCACAAGAGTATAAGATTAAATTGAGCTAAAAATAAATATGAGAAGCCAACTGTGAGAATTCATATTCAGTCTAATATTAACAGCAACACATCTGGAAGGAACTGTGCATCCATCTTCTTGCAATGTTTGGAATTGGCAAAATGTTTCTAGAGATTCCCCATCATGATTGGAATACATCAAGGATTAAGAGCAGTTAGCATAGATGTTTAGAAAGTGACAGCATCCAGCATTCCATTTAATACCTACAGATGGGTTAAATCTTCATGTTGTTCTGTCGCCTAAATGGATCAAGGCCAGTGCTTCAATGCCAACATGCCTCTTCACTGTATCTGCCATCTTATTGGTTTCTCATTCCTATTGATTTGACCTTAAATGTAAGAAGCATATTACTACTATCTTTTCCTGAAGCCTCATTGTTTTTCTGTTCAGCTCCACTTCTGCCCTGGGTACCTTGAAACCCAATTTGATTTGATTCACCAAGCATTTATTGAGTGTGTACTATGTACGGGACACAGGACTAGGCAATGGGAATACAAAAAGGGAAATGAAAAATTCCTTCCCTCAAAGAGCTTACCTGTATAGGGATGGAAACAGCATGTGCACAGATACGTCAATACAAAATGTATCTACAAAATATTTTGCACCAGGATTTGGGAGAGGGATCAGTGGTAGTGGAGAGGCTTAGGAAAGTCCTGCTGTAGCAGGTGGCACCTGATCTGATTTAATACTAATTTTATTTTATTACTTTTTTTTTTTGTACCTGTGATTTCATGAGTAGTGGGAATTTCTGGTGAGAAACTTCTCTACCATGGGAGATCAGAAACCTTCTCTGTAGTGTTACTTGTTAAGGTTAAGGCCTTTCCTAAGCTTTCAGTAAGTTGCTTTAGAAGCAAGACTTAAACCCAGTTCTTCTTAACCGAGGCCAATTCCTTATCCACTACACCAGACTGTCTCGATAATAACAATAGCTGACCTTTGCATAGCATTATAAAATTCACAAAGCATTTTATAAATATTACTTAATTCTATCCTTACAATAACCCTGTTTGGTGGGTGCTACAAACATTGTTTTTCCTGTTTTGCAGATGAGGAAACTGAGTCTCAGAGAGGCTAAGTGATTTGTCCATATCAGTGGAGACATTCCAACAGAGGTCTTTCCTGATTTGATGTTGCTTTTTTTGGCTGGCCCCCTCCTCTTGTCATTGCTTTGACTCCTTGACACATCAACCTTTTTCATATACACTGCCATCTGTTTCTAACAGGCTTATGTCATATCCTATTGCCACTTGGCTCCTCCCCCCTGTAGAAATTCACCATTGTGGCTCCCAATCATTTACCTCCTGTAGTCTCAGTTTTTTAATAGCATTTTCAGAAGGAGAGCTAGTCCAGCAGTAAGTGAGCAAACAGTGGTTCCTTAACCCCAAACCCACAACATGCAAGCCTTTCACATGCCTTGTTCCTCACAAGAGTTGCAGCTAGGTCTCAGTTCCTGCTAATACAGAAAGCCTATGCTTTAAAAACAAATGAAACACACCAGACCCCAAATCAACCCCCCAAATGTAACCTTCATATTGAATCTTTTTTTAACAAAAGTTATAATATTACATTTATGCATGTATTTCATTTACTGTCCCTCAACTAGTCTGTAAATTCTATGAAGGCAAGACAATGTCTTATCTAAGAACTAATTTTTACTAATATTAAATGGATTATGATGTCCCATTTCATTAATTTATTTGGATCACTCCCCTATTGTTGGACCCGTAAGTTGTTAGTATTTTTGTTAATTTCTCTGTGATTACATATAATGCTATTATAAAGGTTTTGAATAGAAAATTGATATTTGTTTTGACAACAACTTTCAAGATATATTCCTAAAAATGTAATTAATGAATCAAAGAGCAACTTATTGTATTCTACTCTCTAAAAAGGTTGCACAACCCTCTGCACACAGTATGTTCATATGCTTCTGCACATATCAAGCACTTAATAGATATTTTTTTTCTAATTGAAACAGAATAAATTTCTTGGTGTTCAGTTGAATTGTTAGGCATGAAGAGTGTCTAGATTTATGCATGAGCTGGGAGAAATGAGAAAACTAAGTAAAACCTCCCTTCAACTTCTTGTAATCATAACCTTGAAATGAGAAATAAAACCAAACATTTATAGGAAACCAGCCACGTGCCTTAGGAAAGATATACTTTTTAAAATTCCTAAGTCATAGGAACTACCCTTTTATATATTCTTCACTTACATTGGTTACTCCTTGCTGAGGCTCATCAGCTGTGACAAAGATTAGGTGCCATTCCTAAAAAATGGAAAGAAACTCAATGCTAATGGGGTTGGGGAGGAACAGGTACTCTTATTCATTACTGGTTGAGTTGCAAACTTGTACAACCTTTTTGGAGAGCAGTATGTAGTAAATTAAAAAATCAGAATCTTTTGACTCATTAATAATATGCTATTTGGTATAGTTCCTGAAAATGATGTCAAAAGCAACAAAAAAAAAATGAACTTTCTGGACAAAGATTCTTATAGAAGCATTATATATAATCACAAAGAAACAAACAAAAATGTAAAAACTTAAATGTAAAAGAACAGAGGAATCATCAAATAAATCATGTTATATTAGTGAAATGGAATATTATAATCCATTTAAGACCAATGAATTTAAGAAATACAAAGAAATCTAAAAAGACCTTATGAAATAATGGAAGATGGGGAGAGAAAGCATAACATTAGAGTATATGCTTTCTATGACCTTATAAGAGAAAAAGTAAATGAGAATAAAGGAGAAAAAAAGCATCTTTCATTGTAATTTCTTTTCCCATTAGCTCCCATCCAAAGTGTCAAATGACTACTTGTGCCTCAGATAAAGCCTGTTCTTTTCCATAGGAAGTGTATCCTGGTCTTGGAACTTAAGCTTTTTCTGAAAAAAAAAAAAAAAAATTCACATAGAAATACATTTATTTTGTCAGTAGAAATATAAAACTTCAGATTTGCTTGGATGAAGGGAGAATGTTTAAGGGGAAAATTTAAACCAGCTTATTATTTGTGGCTGACTTGCCATGACTGCTCATCCTTACAGGTATCATTGTAGACAAAATTCCAAGATTCCCAGACTATTTCTTCAACTGCTTCAAGGCCAAGACCTTTTGGAGTTTCTGTTTTAATGCTCAGGATCCAGAATATTTATAGTAAGACATTGAACTGAGCTGTGAGACATGGGTTTTTTAGGTGAGGACAACCCTCTAGCTAAGCATTCTTCTGAAGTAAATGATATGTCATTTTCTTTTCTCCTCACCAGCTTTGAAAGTTGGTCCCTTATTTTTCTTAAAGACTCATCAGGGCTTCTACCTGGACAAAATAACAGATGAAATGATGATGTTAACGATCTACTCAATAGGAGCCGTAGATGGCAGGAGATACTTTCTAAAGGAGAGAGAGAAGGGCTAAGTATTGACACCAAAATATTAATCTTTTTTGTTGTTATATTAGAGCCTAAGAAAAACTTAGGCATAGCAGCGATAAATGGCCACTCCAGTGACTTGGATTTAGAGACACTTTAATTTAACAGGATGTTGGAAGACCATTGAGAAAGTTTCCTGAATACCGAAGAAAATCATACAGAATTTGAGATGCCCCTCTCTTCTTTGTTCTGTCTTTTGGCGTGTATACTGGAAGAATTGGCATGAATTGTTGGCCTTTGTTATGGTGGTTTGGAGCGGGGGTATTTTGATATACAAGGAATAGAAAGAAGGCATTTTTGAGGGAGATGCATTGAGTCTATCAGGGATTTAAAGGATTTTTAGGGGATTTAAAGGAGAATCTTGTTGTTGGAGTAGGACTTCCTGTACCCTGTTGAATCTAGCCTGGACTGGTCTGTTTCTATTTGAAAGCAGATTAAAGCTTTGGAACAGATCTGATCCATTCTCTTGCTGGCTCATTATAGTGAAGGGAAGCAGACTTGGGGGATTAATTTGCGATGAATTTCAGTGATGCTTAGTATATTGAATTAATTTTGAGTCATCAGATATTTTTATGCTGGTAAAATTACAGAAAAGATTAGGTTTTACAGCTTTACTTAATTTCCTATGTTTCCTTTACCTCAAAAAATTGTTAGCATATTTGTTTATGTGGTAACAGTCAGCTAACAAGAATTTATTAAGTACCTACTATGTTCCTGGCACTGAGAAACAAAGAAAAAAATAAATAGTCCTTGCTTTAAAGGAGCTTGTGTGTATACACACACACACACACACACACTCACTCACACTCACACACTCACTCACATGTATGTTTATATGCATACATATAAATTTTGTTGCTGTTTTTCAGTCATTTCAGTCATGTCCGACACTTGGTGGCCACATTTGAGGTTTTCTTGGCAAAGATACTGAAGTAGTTTGCCATTTCTTTCTCTAGCGAATGAGGAAACTGAGGCAGACAGGGTTACGTGACTTGTCCAGGGTTACATTGCTAGTATGTGTTTGAGGCCAGACTTGAACTCATGAAGATAAGTCTTCCTGTCTCCAGGCCCAGCACTCTATTCACTGTACCATGTAGCTGTCCTGCATTCAAATATGTACATTCATGTACATATACATGTGTATATATGCAATATATGTATATACCTATATGACTGTACATATGCCTATATATATATACACAGTGCAATATATGTACATATTATGTATATTTAGAATATATTTAGTAGGAATATATTATGAGATTACAATGAATTAGAATTAGGATATAGTAGATATAAATGAATAGGATTTATTTTAGGGTCTGCATTATGCTATCACATAATGGCTAGAAAAAGATTAGAGTCAATATTTCATCCTTTTCTTCTTATTGAATATTTCAGGATTCATGCTTGAAATAAAATGATTATTACTATATTGTGCCAATACAAGCACTTTAGATAAAATTACATGTGTACATAAATCTATCTGCATGTCAGTAATTAATATTCTTTCAATATCGCTTACTCTGTAGTGGAAAAAAATCTGTTCTTAATATACCATGTTGTGCCTGAGTTGTACTGTATTATATTTTTTTCTCATTTTGCAATTAAAACTTCCTTTGTTTGTTCTTCACAGGTCACTGACAAGGAACAGGAGTTTGCTGCTGCAGCTTCAAGACAGCTCGAATATCAGCAGTTTGAAGACGATAAACTTTCTCAGAAATCATCTTCCAGCAAACTCTCCCGATCTCCTTTGAAGATAGTTAAAAAGCCTAAAAGCATGCAGCGCAAAGTGATACTTTTAGATGGAACAGAATATCTATGTGATGTCGAAGTAAGTTGTTGTGAGTTGTTTTGGGGGCATCAAGGGGATTGAGTTTTGAAGGAGATTTTGGTCCAAGATTCTTGAAAGAAGGGTAGTATTCATATAAGACCTCCTGAGCAAAAGTATAGTTTATGCAAATTCTGGCAAACTACATATGTTTGCAGATTTAGTCCCTGTGTACAATTTTGTTTGCTTTACTTGTACCAAGAGATCTAGTTATTACTCAGAAGTGTACTTAAAAAATAGCATCCCACAAAATGATTTGAGTTAGTATCTAGGATTATATACAAGAAGCCTGAATTTTCATCTTCATTTAAAACTGGGTAGTTTTTAATATCTTAATTATAAACATTTTACTTAAATGATTTGTTGCTGTCTGAGTAATGCATGGTCAGGACTAACTAGCCAGTTGGTGGGATTCTGCCGTATTTCTGCTCCTGGAAGTTGTCTTATGCTTTGACCTTTTCTCAAATGATGAGGCATTTTCAAATGTTTGCACAGAAAAAAAAAATTCATGTCAATGAAAGGCCTGCTGGCAGTTTTTGCCGGAGATACATGCAAGAAGTCATCTCGTTTTAAAGTGAGCAGTGTAGTGGATCATAGATTCAGCAGGGTCTCAGAAACAACTGGTATTGTGAAAAGATCTCCAGCCTTGCAGTTGGTATTTATGAATTTTTACTCATGATCTGTTACAAATTAATCCTGTGATCTTGACCAAGTCAGTCAAGTTTTCTGAGTCCCATTTTCCTTGTCTATAAAATTAAAGAGTTGGGGGGGCAGCTAGGTGGTGCAGTGGATAGAGTACTGGCCCTGAAGTCAGGAGGACCTGAGTTCAAATCTAGCCCTAGCCTCAGACCAAACACTTGGCACTTACGAGATGTGTGACCCTGGGCAAGTCACTTAACCCCAATTGCCTAAAATAGATAGATAGATAGAGCCTTTAAAAAAAAGTGGGGGCAGCTAGGTGGTACAGTGGATAGAGTACTGGCCCTCAAGTCAGGAGGACCTGAGTTCAAATCTAGCCTCAGACCAATCACTTGGCACTTACTAGCTGTGTGACCCTGGGCAAAGAAGAAAATCTCCATATACAGCAGAATATTTATAGCACCACTTTTTTATAATGAAGAATTGGGAACAAAATCGATTGGGGAATGGCTTAAACAAATTTTGGTACATTACTCCATAGAAGTATGAACTCATTCAGAGTGAAGTAAGCAGTATCAAGAAAACAATATGCAAACTGAATACACCAATATACACAGAAAGAACAATCACAAAGAAAAGAATCAAAAGCGAATGTCATAAAAAACAAGTGTGGCTCAATAAAAGAGAAATGAGAAGACATGCTCCATCTTTTGACAGAGATGGGAAAACTACGTGTTACACATTGCGTATATTTTCATACTATTTAGATGTATTGATTAGTTCAAACTGTATATAGTTTTCTCCCCTCAATTTATTTGTCTTTAAAAATACTTGTCTTTAAATCTATTTGTTGCATGGAATGGCTCTTTGGCATGGGGAGGGGGATAACAGCAAATCATGGTCATGTAAAAAGCAAAAGACTTCAGTGAAAACTTATTTAAAACAAACCAAAACCAAACATTGGCCTAGGAATCACAAGACTATAGTTTGAGAACTGGCTTTACCATTTGATTTATCACTATATCTATAAAATTAAAGAGATGGTTGCTAGACAGTCTTTAAAGTCACTTCTGTCTCCAAATCTCTATGAAATTGTAAGCAACAAACTACCTTAATTCAATAACTTTTAGGAAGATCAGCAGACTTTTTTCCCCCAATAATATGAGATCCTCTAATCCAGTTTATTGAGTACATCCTGCCAGAGGCTAATTTTCCAGTTATAAATATTTAAAATTACAGGCCACTTATAGGATAATAAAATAGGAACATGGTGGGGTTTTGTTTCTTTGCTTCAGTGACCTTATTGGTGAAAGGGATAATAGCTGCACAGGTGTAGCAGAAGGTTTCCCAGTCATTTGCTTCACAAATTTGGCCATGCTGTAGAATTCTCTGTATTTTGTTTGAAAGCTGTTTTTTTCACAGATAGCTAGGTGGAGCAGTAAATAGAGTGGCAAGACGAATCAGGAAGACCCAAGTACAAATCCATTTTCAGAAACTTACTAGTTATGTGACCTTGGGCAAGTCACTTAACCTCTGCCTCAGATCCATAATAGCACCTACCTTCTAGGCTTGTTGTGATGATCATATGAGATTAAAAATTTTAAAAAGTGTAAGCATGGTGCCTTGCACATAGTAGGCACTATATAAATGTGTGATCTTTTTTCCTTTCCTTTTCTTTTTTTAGTTAAATGATTATTTTTGACTTAAAAACAATCCAATCCTAGAAACAAAAACTATATTATTAAAAAAACAGAAAAACAAACGTTTGGCAAATGGCAGTGCACATTTATGTAAAAATAACTAAAAAGAATAGGCAGGGAAGCAGCCTTCTTTACTTTGATCAATAGCATCTATTTATTATTAGGAAGTAGTATTCTTTGTAGTAAAGAAACCCTGAAATTTTTTCTTGTGCAATCAGAGAAAAAGCAGAAATATCTCCTCTCCCCACTATTATTTTTACATAGTTTTAGATAGGTGAGCTCTAGATAGAACACAAGACCAAAAGCAGAGATATAAACAATGGCAAAGAAGAGGGGAAGCAATCTTTATTTGTAGATGGTATTGTAGTGAAGTGAAGTGAAGAAACTATTTGAGACTTTTAATGGCACCATCAAAGTACCAAAATACAAGGTAAATCTATCAAAATTATCAGCATTTCTGTATAATTGTATCAAAAACAGAAAGAAACTAAAAGAAATGCTATTCAAAAGAACTACAAAATGCATAAAATATCTTGGAGTTATCCTTCCAAGATATGTATAAGATTTTTGCTGTTCAGTTGTTTTTTAATGGTGTGTGACTCTTCCTGACCATATTTAGGAGGGCTTTTTTGGGCAGAAGTGGTTTGTCATGTCGGTCTCCAGCTCATTTTACGGATGAAGAAACTGAGCCAAATAAGGTTAGGTAACTTTGCTAGAGTCATACTGCTAGTAGGTGTCTGAGGTCAGATTTGAATTTGGGAAGATAAATCTTTCTGACACCAGGCCCTGCACTCTACCCACTTAACCACCTAACTGTCCCTATATAATATTTGTATCACTCTAATTATAACTCTTTACAGACATGAAAATGGATTTAAATAATTGGATAGTCACCTCTAGTGTTTGCATTATACCAACACAATGAAAATAACACCAACATCTAAGTTAATTTATAGATTTAGTGATATATTTATAAAATCAACTATAGAACTAGTCAAAATAATAAAATTCATTTAGAAAAACAAATATCTCAAGGAAGATGAGGGGGAAAACACTATATAAAATGAAAATGTTTTTGTATGAATCAAGTTAACAAAGGTAGAATTATAAGAGAAAATATAGAGTGGAGAAAGTCATATCAGATATTGCTGATAAGTCAAATACCCATAATATCCAGGGATACCATTGCCACAGTGATGATATTAGTAGGCTTATTTCCCAAAGAGATCAAAGAAAGAAAAAAAGGATCTATATGTACAAACCTTTTTATAGTAGTTCGTCTGTGTGTGTGTGTGTGTGTGTGTGTGTGTGTGTGTTGAGAGGGGATGTGTGGCAGTGAAGTGTTAACTAAGGGCAAGCTCATTAGTTGGGGAATGGTTGATCAAATTGGTTGAACAAATCCAGATGCAATGGAATACTGTTTTGCCGTAACAAATGAAGGAGATGGATTCAAAGAAACCTGGAAGATAGGCAGAAGCAGAACCAGGAAAATAATTTATACTACAAAAACAACAAAAATGAATAACTTTTAAAGAATTGGTTCTGAACAATAGAATAATCAACTGTTGATTCTAGATGATTAATGATGTACCATTTTATCCACTGCCTGAAAGAGATGTGATAGACTAAATATACAGACTAAGATGTGCAGTTTTGGGATGACTTATGTGGGAATTAATTTTGTTTAACTATACATACTTGTTTGGAAAGGTTTTGTTTTTCTTTCAGTGGAAAGGAAGTCGAGAGGGAGAGAAAATGTATGTTAAATGAAAAAAAATTAAATGCATGGGAAATTAATACAGATATATGATTCCTGGAGCTGGTCATCAGAGTTTAGGAAAAGAATTTTCAAAAGAATCTAAAACTGTATATGATTATATAAGAACTCTGAGGTTTCACTGCACAGAGAACAAATTGGTA